GGTGGAAGTGGCGTAGCGGAAAGTTGCCGTTCATACTGGGTCAGACTCCAAATTCTAAACGGAAATTAGCCCTAAAACCCATTTTTGTTTAGCTTGCCGTTTTTCTCAATGAAGTTTGGAGATCAGTAAAACGTTTTTGCTTGCAACGCCCAACAAATCAATAGGACAGTAGGCAAAAATAGGCACGAACTTACTTTTATTTACATAAAACTTAAGATATAATGAATTAGTCATCAAATTAGTGCATTTATTTAAGAATACCAATTTTTTAGAGGTATTTTGGCGACCCGGAGAAATTTTTGGTTAACGGATCCAAAAATAAGTTGCGAAACAATCAAAAATCGGAATCAAAAGCTGCTTGGAAAAACGGAACTCATACGAGAATATCATGTTTTCATTAAAAATACATCATCTTTAAGCTTCATACAATTCCGCCACATCATACCGAGCTCTATTTTCCAAAGAATTCCTCAGGTTTTGAGTTTATCAAAAGCCCGGACCCTGATTCATCTTTCTATTCCGAAGGTTTATAAAAGCGATGTTTCCAGGCCAAAGGCAGTCCTTTTTCAAATATTTACTACCGCTTGTAATTCCAGTGCAGCTGCTGCAATCCGCCAGCCATACAGCGGCATGCCGGTGGCGGTCAGATAAGGCGCGGCTCGCTTTGTCCATTTTTGCCCGCACCCGCCACCAGAGACCAAAAAAAGTCCCGCCGAACGCAGTAAGAATAATAGTACTCACTTTTGGTTACCAGTGAGGATTTTTGCCTGTTGTTTTGGGCACTTCCCCAATATTTAGCTCGTTTTTCAGCGCCAATTGCGGGAAACCAACCCTGATTTCCGGTTTTGTGAGCTGCCCTGCTTTGAAAAACACAGCTCCTCTGGCTAGATTCTAGTAATTTGAACCTTGGTGCGCTTATCGTGCTTTAAAATTGCTAAATTGCTTAAGTTTCTCAATAGCGATTTTGCTATCATTTGCAGCTTTTTCCTTCTTCACGTCTCACTGTCTCTCTCTCTCTCACTCTCTCTCTCTCTCTCGTTCCCTCTCTTTTTCTGTTTCCCTATCGGTCTCTCTCCCTCTCGTTAAAGTGTCACCATTTTTACTCGCCATTCCCCATACTTTTCCATTTTCAGAAAATGCAATGGCCAGAGCGAAGTTTTCTAAACATCATTCAACTCGGCATCGGGATGATGCTCGTCTTTTTTGCTTTTATTTCACAAGCTTTTATTGTCGAAACTGTACTCGAAAATCGGCATGAGACCGACCCAAGGATAGCCAAACATGCAGGATACTACAGGTAAGATTTTGTCGCCACAAAAAAATGCTCATCGTCAGGGGGTTCCACTCCCTTTACCCCTTAAATATTTAGTCAGACAATCATCTATTCGACATTTTTGGTTGGGAATCTGTTGGCACCGCCGATAATTTCTTTTCTAGGTACGTTAATGTCTAATTTAGGCGTTTAAATGGACAAGGGAGGCCAGTTTCTAACGTTAAATTATACAGATTGTTCAGCTCAATCCATTTAAGAATCAGTCCGATTTTTAGGACGTCGTCTCTCCATCATATTCGGCAGTTTCCCCTACGTCCTCTACATGGCAGGATTCCTGTTCTTGAACCCTTACTACCTTTACGCTTCCGCGGCTTTCGAAGGCTTCATGGGAGGGTGTGAGCCAGAGTCCAGACAAAATGAACCCAGAATTAGTGTTGTGGACGTCGGTGGGGCTTTACGTTGCCGAGAACAGTAATGAGAGGACGATATCGAGGAATAGCAATGTTTTCTGGATGCTCTACATGTCGTGGTTGGTTGAAGCCACTTCACAACTTTTCATTGCGTAATCGGTTGGCGCGGGGCCAAAAAGGTTGATACCTTGATACCAGCGTCTCTCAAGCCATCATAATTGGCATCTTGCAGTATGGTACTCGGCGGCATCTACCTACTCGTTGTTTTCGGCCAAAAACCAGACAAAAACATCTCGATGAGCACGACTAGGATCCTGTACGGAACTTTCGCGGCCGTTGCCCTCGTTGGTGTCGTCGTTCTCGGACTTCTCCAGCAGAAATCGACCGGCAAGAAGGCAGCAGCAGTCAGCCACCGGATGGAATTAAGTGAGTTCTGGCCTGAAGCACGTTTACATTGAATTTATACGACACTCCGATACCAAGCCGAAATTTTTAGTGAAAACCGTCCGGATGCTGGGTACTGTGGACCAATGGCTGATCGCAATTCCATCGGCTTTTACTGGAATCGAGAATTCGTTCTTTAGCGGTGTCTACTCCACTGCTTTGTCCTTACAAAAGCAGCTTACGATTAATACGAATCAGTTGATGGCGTATAATAGCATTGCAACTGGTGTTGGGCAACTGTCCGGTGAGCTCTCTTTCTCTCTCACGCCTCTCTCTCTCTCTCTCTCTCTCTCTCTCTCTTTCTCTCCGGCTCTTCCGTTTTCTCGCTCTCTAAATCACTCTTTCGCCTGCTCTTCTCCTAAAATTCGAGATTTTAGGCGGTCTACTCTTCGCCCTCCTCGGAAAATGGTCCTCTCGAGTCGGTAGATGGTACACGATGTGGATGGGGACCGCCGCTAGCCTTATTTGCTATAGTCTAGTAGCCTGAAATCTACCAGGCGCTGTTTCCTTCGGAGAAAACGTATGATAAGCCGATCTTCGGCTCGCCTAGGTGGGCATCACTTCGTAAAATAGCACCACAATTGCCCTTATTTAGCATAACCATAGCCCTAATTTGCGGTGTCTTGCTCGGATTCAGCGACTGCTGTGTCAATACTCAAATTTATGCCCTAATTTCCGTACGGTATCATGGAAGAACAGGACCGGCATTTGCGTTGAGTAAATTTTGGCATGTAGGTTAGCCGTTTCTAAATTTGCACAAACTTTTGACATTAAAAATGACCAAAGAAAATCGTGGTTTCAGGCCCTGTTCACCGCGATTTGCATGTTCTACGGCAGCGTTGCAAGCTTGTATGTCCAATTGGCAATATTGGCAGTTGGAACCGTGATTTCGTCAATATCTTATACAATCGCTGAACGAAAGATGCTAATTTTGAGAAAACGGGCGCCGACAATTGTCATTGATGACTGCATTTATTGAAATTTTGAAAAGCTTCGACCTTAAACAAAGTTGTCGCATAAAACCTGGTTTCTGATTGAACTGTCTAAAAGCACCTGGGAGTGCAAAATCGAGACGTTCGTCCTGTTTTCAGCGGGTCACCCTGTCAACACCTAGGCCTTGATAGGGGTCGATTCTCGCGCTTGGTAGCGCCTCTCCAGCTCATATGCTGCTCATATTGTTTTGAAAGGTACAAGGGCGATGGATAATCATACAATGCAACTATCAAAACCATGATATGCAGCATAAAAAAAGGTCAGGTAAACAACAAAAAATAGTATGCGAACCAGTACGCGTCGTAAAAATTCTTTGAGCTCGACAAAACTATTCTGCTCGCGACTACATCCTACAACCCAGGCCCCAACAACATTCAAAAATTCTGGTTGCTGTGATGAAAAAATTGGGGTCGTGTGGATGTAGAACAAGTTTATTCGAAACTACAGCCCACGATCGGACACCAAAAAAATCTAAATATTTGGGTTTCCGGTACGAGAAACTGAAGAAAATTCGCCCCTTTCGTGATGTAAGGTGTTTCCATGATCATCTTGTGCTGACTATGATGATGCAAAGGCAAGCCATAAACCTTAATTTGATGATGTAACGAGACACAGACCGTTTTCTGCCATTTTGTGCAAATTTGTCCGCGTTATCACGTTATGTCCCTGGCGATTTTTCAGCCGACAATAAAGCCGTAGAATCGAGGCGGCGGCTGGCCACATGGCGGGTCGATTTGATAAACTGGGCTTCACTATTCCCAAGGTGGCCACATCTCCATTTCAACTTTCCGCTTGGCTGCTTTTCACTGACAGTTTTTGGGTGGTTTGACCTTGGTGTGGGTAGCATCGGAAATCCGGGCTCCGCGTAGGGTATATAACGGTTCATGCACCACAAGAAACCGTCAGGGATAATAGTTGATTGATGATAATTGATTTTTATACCTTCACCTGACCATGATGTTCGATATATCTTAATTTTCTAAACAAAATTATGGCTAATTGTTATGCCTCGTTTTTAGAAAAAAAATACTTCACGATGGTCAAGCAATTTGAAGGGAAGGTGGCTTTGATTACAGGTAGGGATAATCGATTACGATAGGTATTTAGAACCTGTTAATGGGCGTATTTTGTAGTTGATAACAGATTAATGATACTACTTAGTATGCTAAAAATTATGTCCACCAGGTTCGAGCAACGGCATCGGCCGCGGGATCGCGGTCCATTTTGCCGCCCGAGGAGCGAAGGTGACGATCACCGGAAGAAGTGAAGCCGCCTTGTATGTATGTTAAATCATATAAAACGAAGATTAATACCTATTCAAACCTTAAAATACCATATAGGGGCTGTTTAGGAAACCAGGAAAGAATGTGTGGCAGCTGGCGCCCCGGAAAACGACATCCTCGCGCTGGTCGGAAATTTGGCCGAAGAGGAATTTATGACCAAACTGGTGCACGATACTGTAGAAAAATTCGGAAAGCTGGATTTCCTGGTATCTTAATTACGGGTAGTTTTAAATTTTAAACTCCAGATCAATAACGCTGGTGTTACTGATGAGGACATGTGCAACAAGAAGCCTGGCTTCTTGACTCAGGATATGCAGAGCTACGACTATATCTTTCTGATTAACGTGCGATGGTAGGTAAATACATTAAAATGCTTGATAATTAATACCAAACAAACGACGTTTTTAGTTAAATAAAATATTGAAAGCAAGGTGTGGTCGTGATTTAGCGTCGTTTTTCTATCCCGTGAAGCCACGCCCCACCTCGAGAAAACGAAGGGAGCAATCGTCAACATGAGCTCGATTGCCGCATCGGAAATTCAGGCTGTAAATTGGAAACTATCGGATTTCTCTGAAGTTGCATATTTTAGATAGCCTTCCCCTACTATGGGATGTCAAAATCGGCACTGGATTCGCTGACGAGAAGCTTGGCACTTGAGCTGATTCGAAAGGGTATTCGGGTCAATGGGATCAAGTAAGACAAAACGTAAGGCAATAAGGATTTTCAGGCCCGGGGCGATCAGCTCGAACATCATGCAAAAGCAAGGAGCTACAGATGAAATTTTGCAGCAGGTTAGAAGGATTCTTACCAATTCTGAAATTCATCAATCCAGCATGAAATCTGCACCAAAGCAGAGAGACCGTATACCCTATAAAATCCTTTAACTTCAGCTATGAGTTAGAAGACCCTAAAATCATGCTAGCTCTGTTAAGCAAACGTAAAAATTATTTGTGACCAGCGCCCAAAACCCGCTTCGCGGGCCTTGGGCGCTGGAATGCGGCCTTTGCATGAGAAATTTGACTTTCCGATAGCTTGGGTCCTTCGGACCCCTCCCTTCCTCCGACCACACCCGCGCGTGTAACTTGCAAGAATGAGAAAATTTGTATTTTTTGGAATTATGCAAAGTAGCCCTCCCTGGCGCCGGACACACACACACACACAGAGATACACTCCAAAATTATATAAGGTAGGATTTAATGAAAAGGCGATATTTTTTTAAAGGCGAGCCAACCATTTTTTAGTTAGAAAAAGAAAATGTCAAGCAGCTTCGCACTAATCCCGGCTGGATTCTACGGGAAACCAGAGGATATCGCCCATCTCACCGCCTTCCTCTGTGATAGGTACGTAACCACGAGACCGATTTGCACTTTTTACCTGCGGAATGAGAAGCATCAGTCGAATTTTTGCTTGTTTGCCTCGTTCGGCCACGATAAGCTTTTGAATCGGCGAGGCAACCGACTAAAGTCTGATCAGAAAACGGCAGAAAATTCGGAAAAATTAACCAGGAAATTTGTATAAAATAATTTTTAGCGAGCAATCCCGCTACATCATCGGCCAGAGCATTCGCGTGGATGGGGGAACCTCGTTGGTTTGCCCGATGATGCTGGGAGAAGAGATATCGTCTGTTCAGAAGCTCGAAACGGACCAATAAGGACGTCAATTCTTGTTTTTAATCAATAAAGATCTATTAAATGCGCTTAAATGATCGCATTTAAAAAACAAATTTTCCAACGTAGTAATTTAGAGAGTAGCAGCGCAAAATCCTCCAACAACAAGGAAAAACTGGTTCAATTATTCCGCAGTTGTTGTTCCATGTTCAGTAATTACAGTAATTTTGGCTTGTTCTGCAACGGCTAGAAATGGTTGTGCGAAACACTTATCGGACGTCCCTTTTCGGCGTTTATGCCAATTTGTTGTAAATTTTTGAACAGCCAGCCCTGCGCCGAGCCATTTAAATAGCGCGCGCACGTGCCGGGATGCCTATTGTTCAAAATTTGTGAGGACATTTCTGGATTTCTGGACTCTAAACTCATTCCCAGTTTTGTCAATAATCCTAACAATGAGTGCTTTTTTTGAGTTCTCGGCAAAACTAAATTGTGACTAAGACTGTTGTTGATCCAACGACACATATATCAGCACAGAAATCTCAATATTTTTTTACACCTCCGTCCAAGTCGACGAGAATTTGCTCCCCTCGAGTCTTTCCCATCGTTTTTTGCTTTTTCGTTATTTTAGTTTTCCTTCGCTTCTCTGTCTGTTTGTGACCCTCGTTCTCTTTCTTTCTTAGGCTCTCTCACTCGCTCTCTCTTTCGCTCTTTCTCTCTCTCTCTCTTTCTCTATCTCTATCTATCCTTCTCACTTCGGAATCTCTTCTTCCCTTTCCTTCTCCCCGAGAACCCGCACCGAGACTAGAAACTAGAAACGCAAAAAGCGAAGCCCCGACCGGGGGAAATTGCTTTCTTGGTGTGCGGAGCCACGCTGCTCTTGTGCCGTTTTGTACCGGATTTTTGGCCATACACACTCCCCACAACTCAATGTCATCCTGGTCGGGAGAGTGGCCTCGCCGGTCTGGACCCAGCGAGTATAGGACGGGCGTCCATCGCCTTGGCCTTTCATTCGGCTACTGTGCATGCACGATTTTGACTCCTTTTTTCTTAGTACAACCCATTTGCAAATCACATGTAATACGGCAGCTATCATCAAAAAATTTTTATTGCTGTTATTACTTCTACTTTTTAGGAAAATAACTTAGATTGGCTACGGAAAATGGCCAAACAATTCGAAGGCAAAGTTGTCCTCATCACCGGATCGAGCAATGGTATCGGCCGGGGTATCGCAGTGCACTTTGCCGCTCGTGGAGCGAAGGTGACGCTCACGGGAAGGAGTGCTGAAGCCTTGGAGGTGGTTCAGAGTAATTACGATTTTGCAGCGCTAAAAAAGCATTAACAGATTCTATTTGAATGTTTTGGAAACGATGAAATCCATATGTATTTAGGACGCCAAGAAAGAATGCGTCGCAGCCGGAGCTTCGGAAGCCAATATCCTTTCCATTGCCGGAAACCTAACCGAAGAGCCATTCATGTCAAAACTCGTCAACGATACTGTGGTGCATTTCGGGCAGCTGGACGTCCTGGTAATTCTTAACTTATAAAATCTACTGGTCTTAAGGTGAATAACGCCGGTGTGACGGACAAGGAAATGAGCGGAAAGCAGCCTGGAGTATTGACGCAGGGCCTCGACAGTTACGACTACATCTTCCAAATTAATGTGCGATGGTAAGTGAATGCTCTGGAATTTTTCGCAAATGAAATGCAAGCGAATCAACAAGTTTAGGTATGCTAAACATACATAAAACTATAACCTGAAAAGCCCGTTTTTAGCGTTGTCCATCTCTGTCGAGAAGCCACTCCGCATCTTGAGAAAACCAAGGGGGCAATTGTCAACATTAGCTCCATTGTCGCTTCTGATATTCAATCGGTTAGCTACTATTATTTTGGAGAATCAAGTCAGGTTTCAGGCAAATTTCCCCTACTACGGAATGTCCAAATCGGCCCTCGACTCGCTGACAAAAAGCCTGGCCCTCGAGCTGATCCGGAAGGGAATTCGGGTCAATGGAGTCAAGTAAGAAACACACAAGGTTTTTTAGAAGCAAAAATTCTAATTTACGGCCTGGTGCAGTGACGTCAAAAATTATGGAAAGGCAAGGTGCAACCCGCGAAGTGATGGATCAGGTAAGCATGCTATTTTTGGGCCTGGCTTTTAAAGAATTCAGCTTCTTGGAATAGCCTATCATAATTGATTAAATCTATTAATTGTCAACATGGAACAATTCCAGGTAGAAAACGCCCTATCCAGCCGCTTTGAAATGATCCCGGTCGGGTTCTTCGGGAAACCGGAAGACATCGCCCACATCACTGGATTTTTGAGCGATAGGTATGTGTTAATTTTGTCAGAGAGCAAAACAGAACGGAGACAGTGAAAAAACAGACAGAGAGAGATACACCATAATTTTCGTAATGTTTGTCTTTCAGCGTCCAATCGCGGTACATCATCGGCCAGAGCATCCGCGTTGATGGTGGCAGCTCGCTGGTGTGCCCCCTATTGCTCGGAGATGTGCTTGAGAAGAAGTAAACAACCTATTGCAATACTTTTTCACACGCTATTCGCTATGGATCAATTATCGTGAATATGTGCATACATCCTTCCTTTAATCTTACCTATCAGGTTGGAAGGTAAGTCCTGTCGCCGAGATTTTGGAAGGCTGGCTAAAATCGTAGTTAGCTCCATTCTGCACATGCAATATGTCATTTTTGTAGCTCTCGGCCTGAACCGTTTCGGGAGGTGGGTCCTAGCCCGCCAAAATCCAGGAGCACCGAGATACGGGCCCAAGAAGTTTCTGGAAAAATTGAGCAAAAGCGTTTTTGCAAGTTATCTATGCATAGAGTGGTTTGCATACGATACCGTTGACGCCAATCGATAGCACTCGAGGAGTAGATATCGATAGATGTTGAGATCATCAAAATTGGACACTGGACGGCCGAGATATGGGCCTTTGAAATTTGGACCATTTCTTAGAACTTTTCTCGAAATCCCATACATTTGGTCAAAATCCACTCGGCGCGTCCAAAAATAAAGCGGCAATTTTCGGCACCTGCCGGTCAAATCCAGCGAAATGTATGGGATTTCGAGAAAAGTTCTAAGAAATGGTCCAAATTTCAAAGGCCCATATCTCGGCCGTCCAGTGTCCAATTTTGATGATCTCAACATCTATCGATATCTACTCCTCGAGTGCTATCGATTGGCGTCAACGGTATCGTATGCAAACCACTCTATGCATAGATAACTTGCAAAAACGCTTTTGCTCAATTTTTCCAGAAACTTCTTGGGCCCGTATCTCGGTGCTCCTGGATTTTGGCGGGCTAGGACCCACCTCCCGAAACGGTTCAGGCCGAGAGCTACAAAATGACATATTGCATGTGCAGAATGGAGCTAACTACGATTTTAGCCAGCCTTCCAAAATCTCGGCGACAGGACTTACCTTCCAACCTGATATATCGTGATGCTCGATGCGGCATGTGAAAGTCGATGGTAATAACGAATCTTTTTATGTATAGAAGCTGTCCAAATTTTACTAACTAATCACAAACACAAAAATGAAGCACTAGGTTTTGCACCTTTTGCTATCCATTACGCAATATTCACCAATACTGTACCAGTTGCTTGCTCGAAAACTCTATTCTAAGCTAGAATGCAACCGTCTGCAGGGATGATCTTCTTTCAGGACGTTGTGCAATCGGGGAACTGTTGTTTCTGCTCGCTGCCTGCCTAATATCTCTTCAATTCCCTAGCAGCATCCATATCTCGAACTATTTCTCTCCACACGCACAAATCATACACGTGGGAGAGCGGCGGGCGGGCGCCCCCTTTGGTCCTTATTTTGCTATCTTGCGCCGAACTTTTGACCTCGCACACTTCCCACAGCTATTGTCATCCCAGCCTCCCGGAGGGGAGTGATTTCGGGCCGAGCCAACCAGATGGATATAAGGACCGTCGATGGCTCTACATTTGAGGCGGTTATTTTCATATCAGGCCTTTGAGTTTGGGTCTGGTTTTTATTTTATTATAATGCTTCTCTAGAATCCTCTGGTTTTTAACTCTTATTCCCTTTTAATAGAACGCGCCCCCCCATCCCCCCAAAAAATGTTGGGCACGGGGGTCCAAAATTTTTCGGCGGCATTACCGTTAGTTTGTCGGGATTTTCGCTCAGCCATTCGTTAGAACATTAAAAAAATAGACTAAGAATTTTAATTCCAGCTCAAAATAATGTAAAATAAAAAGGTTATAGCGAAATTTGGGTGGGGATAAAGTAAAGCTTTATTAACACAATTTTTTTCAAAACCGCATGAAGCAAAAAATGCGAAAGACGGTTCGGTTTATGCTTTTTACGTTGCTGCTCAGTGGTTGTAAGGAGATTGAACTGCTCGAAATCGTGCTAATTGCTCGAATTCCCGAGAAATATTGTTCCCGCTAAAAATACACTTTGGAAGGCTCCCATTTTATGACACTTAAAAATAAACTTACAAAAACACTTTACGTCCCTTTTAGACGTCTTAAAATTAGCGATGGCGAAACAATTCGAAGGAAAGGTGGTGCTCATCACAGGTTGACGACCACCATAACTTTTACCTTGTTGAATCATCAGGCTCGAGCAACGGCATCGGTCGCGGGATCGCCGTCCACTTTGCGGCTCGTGGCGCAAAGGTGGCAATTACCGGCAGGAGTGCCGCTGCCCTAGAGGTAAGTTAAAGTGACATGCTATTTTGATTCCGGTAGGGATTCTTCTACTATTCTGTAATTTTTTTCGCTTAGGAAGCGAAAAAAGAATGCGTGGCCGTCGGAGCCTCCGAAAAGTCCATCCTCTCCCTCGTCGGAAACCTGACCGAGGAATCCTTTATGAGCAAACTCGTCTCGGAAACCGTTTCCCATTTCGGAAAACTAGATTATCTCGTAAGTTTCTATACCTCATAGTAAGATTTGACTCTTGTATTCTGTAGATTAACAACGCCGGCGTTCTCGACGTCGACATGAGCGGAAAGTTGCCCGGCGTATTGGCGCAGGACCTGGCCAGCTACGACTACATCTTTCAGATCAACGTCAGGTGGTAAGTACACCAATTTCTCTGAAGTTTTGTTAATTAAAACCCATTTAAATTCAAGCAATTAAATATGGTAAATAAAAAAATAGTTATTAAGACATAAACTCGCAATTTTAGCGTCGTGTATTTATGCCGTGAAGCCACACCGCACCTCGAGAAAACGAAGGGCGCAATCGTGAACATGAGCTCGATCCTGGGCTCCGAAATTCAAGGGGTATATCTTGAATGTCGTATGGATCTAGGATCCATTCAGGTGCCTTACGCCTACTACGGTATGTCAAAAATGGCCCTAGACGCGCTGACGAGAAGCCTGGCCCTGGAGCTGATCAAAAAGGGCATTCGCGTCAACGGCGTCAAGTAAAGTTTTGCAATTTTTCTGTTGATCAGAAATTTTTAGGCCTGGTGGCGTCACCTCAAAGCTGGTGGAGAAGCAGGGCGTCACGAAGGAAGTGATGGACCAGGTATGTTGGCGTCTTAATAATCATCTAGATATCTAATGCTGAATTACCTTCATAATGCCGATTTTCATAATGCCGATTTTCATAATGCCGATTATTATAATGCCGATTTTTCATAATGCCGATTTTCATAATGCCGATTTTTCATAATGCCGATTTTCATAATGCCGATTTTCATAATGCCGATTTTACAGAATGCCGATTTTACAGAATGCCGATTTTCATAATGCCGATTTTCATAATGCCGATTTTCATAATGCCGATTATTATAATGCCGATTTTCATAATGCCGATTTTCATAATGCCGAGTATTATAATGCCGATTCTCATAATGCCGAGTATTATAATCCCGATTCTCATGATCCCGATTATTATAATGCCGATTCTCATAATTTTCTATTCTCATAATTCTCATAATTCAAACCTCCAGATTCAGCCGCAAACGTTTAGAACGCGCATACCAAGGCACGGAACCGTGTTCGGGAGATGGTGACTTCCGATTACGGGCAATCTGTTGGCGCTCTCGTCGCACCCGTCCTGGCTCACCATGACGACAGCGTCATTCGCCCTACTATCCAAAGCCTGGAACAAGTCGGACAAAGAGCTCGAGTTCAGGATTACCCGGCCAATCCCGCAGATCTCAAGAATCTGCAAGTCCCCGTTAAACTACAGTATTATGATGACGGTATTAGTTAAAAAATGTCGAAAAATTATTAAATAATTTCGACGGTTGAAGAATGTTCATTTATCGCGGTCTGGGGTAAATCGGGATTTTAATGCAAAATCAGCCCTATGTAAAATCGGCATTATGAAAATCGGCATTATGAAAATCGGCATTATGAAAATCGGCATTATGAAAATCGGCATTATGAGAATCGGCATTATAATAATCGGCATTATGAAAATCGGCATTATGAAAATCGGCATTATGAAAATCGGCATTATGAAAATCGGCATTCTGTAAAATCGGCATTCTGTAAAATCGGCATTATGAAAATCGGCATTATGAAAATCGGCATTATGAAAAATCGGCATTATGAAAATCGGCATTATGAAAAATCGGCATTATAATAATCGGCATTATGAAAATCGGCATTATGTAAATCGGCATTATGACATTAACCCATCATCTAGATATCTCGTCGTGTTGTAATAAATAGCAATATTATATAAAATTTTAATTAAAGTACCATTTAGATGGTAAAGTCAATGACTAGTCGCTTCGACCTGATCCCCGTGGGATTCTATGGAGAGCCGGAAGACATCGCACACATCACCGCATTTTTGTGCGATAGGCAAGTAGATTTCCGAGAAGCGCGCATTAATTATAGGCAGCGAAAACATGGTATTCCAAAGCATTGAAAATTCTTTTTAGCGTGCAATCCCGTTACATCATTGGCCAAAGCATTCGTGTCGATGGTGGCAGCTCGTTGGTGTGCCCCCTGCTGCTCGGTGATGTTCTCGAGAAGTAATAAACGGAATTTTACCATATTTTATGTTTTATAAAATGTTTTATAGCATATACACTGAAACATTTTAACTGAACCAGCTCTCACGAGCCATTAGCACATGCGATTGTCGTAATAACTCGTGTGGCGCTGTTATGGGTGAATGTCCATCCCATCGCAGTACATTGGAGCGTGGCGGAGACGCTGTTAGAGGTGGAAGTGACCGTTCCAGCCGTCTCGAGGTTAAACTGGAATGGGAGGGAGTAGAGAGGGAGATAGAGAAAGAGAGCGAGAGAGAGGTGGAGGGAGAGAGAGCTAGAGAGCGCGGAAGAGAATGAGAGAAAGCGTGCGAAAAAGCGTGAGGGCGAGAGAATGAGTGAGCGAGATAAAGAGAGTCAGTGGGTCATTGAGAGCGAGCGAGAGTGAGAGAGTGAGGTAGAGAGAGAGTGGGAGTGAGCGAACGAGAGAGAGAGAGAGAGAGCATGTGAGTGATGGAAGGTGAAATAAAGAGACGCAGCTAAAAACTCACAGAAATCTCTGCCTGCGCCGCACCACGTGTACAAGTGTATGTGCGCGAGCAGTCGGCACTAAAAAAGGCACAAAGGTGAATAACAAGTGGTGAAAGTGCTCACTTCACAAAAATGCTACTAAAGGTAACGGCACCCTCGCTCGTTCTATCAACGGTAGGGGGTGTGGGGCAGTTGCAGACTAAAAAATAGGACTTTTAATAATATTATTTTTCTAAATGAACCAGGAGCCGCTGTTGTCGTTGTCTTTGTGCTTGGCGTGGTCGTTGTGGTAGTTCTGGGCCTGCTTGTCGTCGTGCTAGGATTTTGCATTCGTATACAAGCTTCTAGTGAAATCAGGAATATCGACAGCGCCAGTAAGGTTCGAATATATCGCATAATAGAAGCCGGAATATAAGATCAGGGACCGCAGAGTTAAGCTCAAGCTTTAGAAATTCAGATGAATTTGCTGGCTTTTACTGAGGGATACTGTTCGATAGATCGCCGAATCCTCGCGGTTAAACGGCTTTTTCCAGGATCTCGTATCTGGTTCGAGGCAGCAGGTGAGCAGAGCCCATAACCATTTCTTCCCAGAAAAACTCGAACTTACCGTCCATTCCCAGGCGCGCAATCAGGCTGCCCTCGCCCTCGCCCTATACCAAAACACGCCGCTAGTTTCGTTGAGGGTCGAGATCCATGGCTGAAAGTGCAGGCGGTGCGGCAAGTTCAAAGGACAACTTTTGATGCTTAAGCTCTTGCTCAGGTGAAGCCTGTTTCGAGAATTTCGTGATTTTTTCGGATTGCGGTAGGAAATGTTACGGGTCTCTAGTATTATCTCTCGGTCGCTCTCTTTCTGGCTCTGCCTCTTTCGCTCGCTCCCGCTCTCACTCGCTCTGTTACTCTTACCGCCTCTATCTTGCTAGCTTCCTTTCTGTCTCGGCCTCTCTCCCTCTGAGTCGCTTTCTCTATGTCTCTCTCTCTGTCTCTCTTTCTCTCACTCTCTCTCTCCCCATCTCTCGCTCTCTCTCTATCTCTTCACTTCTCTTCTCTTCACTTATCTTCTCTCTTCTATCTCTCCTTTTTCGTTCATGCACGTTACCTTTTTCATCAATTAGACTCCTTGAACAGTAAGCAATTTTTGATATGTATTTCGGAATTTGATTAATTTATAAATCGGGTTATTCTTGTGCCCCCGCAAAACATCCAATTATATTGATGACGACTGTCGCTCCGTTGTATAAAAAGGTCCGCCCAGTTTACTTTATCTCTGAAAATTCTGAAGGATGCTAGGCCAGCGCAGATTATAGGAACACTCCACTCTCGTTTGAATGATCTATCAGGTTGGTAGATAAGTCCTGTCACAATTTTTTGAAAGCGCTCTAGAAAGCCGCAGGAACGTCGGATTTTCACTTTCGATACATGATTTGATAGATCTTGGGACGCGCTACTTCGGCAAAACCCGCTTTGGACCCCAAAGTGGCTCGCCGTCGAGTTACAGCACCGGGAAGTTTTTCATAACATCTTGAAAAAGCTATTTAGCATGCTATCTCTGCATAGATCTATTTGAATACGATACCATTAACGCCAATCGATAGCTCTCGAGGAGTAGATATCGATAGATGTTGAGATCATCAAAATCGAATACCGGATGGCCGAGATACGGGCCCTTCAAATTTGGTCCATTTCTTAGAACTTTTTCCGAATTCCCATACATTTAGACAAAATCTTCTCCGGGCGCTCAAAAGCCAACTGGCAAGATTTGTCACAGATGCGTAAAATGTATGGGATTTCGGGAAAAGTTCTAAGAAATCAACCAAATTTCAAGGACCGGTATCTCGGTCATCCGGTGTCCAATTTTGATGATCTCAAGGTCTATCGATATCTACTCCTCGAGAGCTATCGATTGTCGTTAACGGTATCGTATTCAAATTGCTCTATGCAGAGATAGCACGCTAAATAGCTTTCTCAAGATTTTATTAAAAAATTCTCGGTGCTGTAACTCGGCGTCCTGTAACTTTTCGACCTTGTGCGGCAGCTCCCAGTATAGAGCAGCCCAATACCTATCAAATCAGGTATCAAAAGTTAAAATCGGCCATGTCTGCGGCTATATAGGGTGATTTAAAAAAATTGTGACAGGACTTATCTACCAACTTATATATGATCTTAGGCAAATTGTGTTTTAGAATGCGGGTTTACGGTGGGTGCTTAAAGTCGGGCAAAAGCGAACCCGGGACTCTCGCCTGGCGCAAGCGCTTTAGACCACTCGGCCATGGGAGAGAGGGGTGATGGAGCGGAGGCGAGGAGCTTTGAAGGGTCGGAGGTCGCAGCCGCCGGACAGGCGAATTCTTGCCGCCGAACTGGATTTTTTAACGAGCGCGGAATGTGCTTTTAAGTAACACAACGATTACCTCTTGACAATGCTCGTAAATGGAGCGGAAGCCGGGGTGACGGTCGGTGGGCGGGATACACAGGCATATGAGGCCCGGAAAACAATTTGAAGGATCAACCTGAACTCCCGAGCCACGCGAAATGATAGTTTGAAGCCAACTTTGCGTCTGGGAAGCCAAGAGAAAATTAGAAACCCAAAAATTTGATCATGTCGGCGTGATTTCAACATCTTTATCAGATAGTGTTGTAAAAACAGAAAGTCACACTCTTAAGTATTGACCATTGGCTATATATAGCTGTTTGTATTGGGAACATGAGGTGGTTGGACCATCGCCGCTTTACTTTTCACATTTCCAGACAGCTGCAATAAGGCAAAAGCTGAAAGAAAAAACCTATGCTGCTTACAGTAAAATGTTTTTGTCCAGGATGGAAATTCGGTTCGGGACCAGGTCTATCTCGTGTAAAATTTTTTGCTGATTTCGAATCCGATTTCCAAATCTGCAAAATAAGTCGGATTCCAAGGTTATGAAGTATTTAAGTATTGGCCATCCCTTTTTGTTTGACTGTTCTAATGTATCGCGCATATCTTACCTTATAGAGAATTTTTTTCTGATTTGAATCGTATATTTCATTAAGACATGGGTGGTGCTACTGGGCCGCTGTTTACAGGTGTGCAAAGTACGCAGTTTTGCGCCAGGTCCCATACAAAAATTACAGGCCATACCATCTCGTCAAATTTATCGGTTTCCGACAGTTTTCAGTTAAAGAGCTCATTCGATAGAAAAGTTCACCATCTGGTTCGAGGCAGCAGGTGAACAGTGCCCATAACCATTTCTTCCCTAAAAACTCGAACCTACCGTCCACTCCCAGAGGCGCAATCAGGTTGCCCGCACGCCCTACCAAAGCACGCCGATAGTTTCGTTGAGGGTCGGAATCAGGGACGTAGCCAGAAAAAAATTTCGGGGGGGGGGCCCGAAAATTTTTTTCCAAAAAACTCAAAAAATTAACGAAAAAACAGCGCCGCAGGCGAAAAATTTTGGAAAAAGGCTACATAGCTCTATAAATAGCAGTAAAAACGTGAAAAAAATAGCGCCGCAGGCAGCAAAATTTTTGAGAAAATAAAAATCATAAGGGTCCCCCCTTATGAAATTTTTGGGCCCCGGCCGATTTCGGGGCACCGTGCCCAGGGGGCCCACCTTACCCTCCCTGGTCGGGATCCATAGCGGACAGTGCAGGATGAGCGGCAAGTTCAAGGGACAATTTTTGATGCCTAGACTCTTTCTAATGCGCAGCTTGTTTCGGGGCGTACCTGAGTTCGCCAAGCCGCTAAAGTAGGAAATAGTATGGTTCTCTCACTCTGCCTCTCTCTCTCTCTCTCTCTCTCTATCGCTCTCTCTCTGTCACTGTCTCTGTCTCTCTTCCCCTGTATCTGTTCCTCTATCACTCTCTGCCTTTTTCGATAATGTTCTGTCCGTTTTACATCCATTTTTCTAGGCGTAAATGCAAGCCAAAATCTGGGATTTATTTCGGAGTTTCGTTCATCGTAAACCCTTTTCCTTGTGTCCCAGAAAACATCCAATTATAGTAAAGACAGTTCAAGGAATGGGACGCAAAGTTTCGTAATGGATAAATATTAATACAATTATATGCAATTCACAATTTTCACCCAACAATTTTGAGGGCTGACACGTATCACAAAGCAGGCAAGTTTTTTCTAGCTAGTAAGCTCATCCTCTGAAGCAGCCGACTTTGCTGATGACGGCGGTCGCGCCATTTGCGGTAAATGACCACCCAGCTGCTTCGCACTGGAGTGTCGCCGTGGCCGTGGGAGTACCATCGGTGTTGCCCAAGGTATCATCGTCAAACTATAGAAATATAACGACTTTCTTGAGCTTATATAGCTAGCAAGCAACTTTAAAGCTAATTCTCCATGCTTTGAGAAAAAGCCATTTTTGTGCCTTTCTGATTTTTTGAAAATGGCCTGCTATACAGGGTGCCCCAAAACCACCTAGCCATCTGGCATGGACGAGCAGTATATCAGACCATGAGTAACACCAATCCGGACCTGTAACTGCATAGCTCTAGTAGTTCTTGAATTATGACAAAGAACCCTTTATTTTCATTTTACATGAGGTTTCCGTGGAATTAGACACCGTAAACTAGTGATGGGGTTATTCAAATCAAATCTTGAATCAAATCTGAGAGCTCAAATCTGAATATTTGAAGGCAAAAATTTCAATTTCAAATCGGCGGATTTGATTTGAAATCCCGTGGACGAGTTCAAATCAAATCTCGAGGATTTGATTAAGCTTCCGGTCCTTAATCAAATCTTATTGAGATACCGGCATGCAAAACATAACAAAATCGCTATGGCCGAGCTGCCGCGAACCGGAAATGGCCTTGATTATGCATACCATCATACAATTAGCATCAGCGTAATGAGCTATTGATTTTTTCGACTCCTTTCAAATCCTCGTTCTAATCTTTAGATTTGAACTCAAACCTCGAAAGTCCAATCAAATCGATTTGATTTCAAGTGCTGAAACCTTATTCAAATCAAACCGGCAGATTTGATTAGGCGGATGCAAATTAGATTTGAGATTTGAATAATACCATTCCTACCGTAAACATTCAGTGAACATCTTTGGTGGGCTTTCTTTACCTTAAGAAATTTTTTCCAACTGATATTAATCAAACGAGTT